AATATTACAAAATTCACAAATAAATTTTGCTTTTTCATAATTCACTATACAGGACAACATATTATAACTTTCTTTATGTTTTTTAGCATGTTCTATAAAAGAATTTAAACTATTATGATATTTAGTATTGCAATGTATACAAGTAAAATTTACATGAATTATATTATGCGTCAACCAATGATCCTCAAAATCATAAAAATTTTCAGTTATTACCATACAAATACTGCAAATAAATACTAATTTTGCAGTTGCAAGTGATACACAAAGAAATTGAGGATCACTAAAATTATGTTTACTTTTTATGTGCTTATAAAATTCATTTTTTTTAAAAGAGTTATCACATAAATTACAAGTTACTTTTATTGTCAAATGTGTCTGAACAATGTTATTAGAGTTCTCTATAGTAGTTGTATTTTTAACTAAATTAGATTTATTACATTTTTGAATATGTTCTTTTAAATCATCTTCATTAATAAAAGGTAATTTGCAATTGTTACAAACATATTCTGCAACTTGAATATAATCTTCTGTAGATATACTTAAATTCATTGAAGAATTTTTTTTTAGTTTTGAGTTTATTATAGAATTCTTTGGAAATGATTGCTCACTAGCCATCCATAAAGAATCTCTTGCATGTTTTGACCAATGAATATAGAAAAGAGTTCCTATTCCACAAAATATAACTTTACAAATGTTGCATCGAAATTCCATTGTAGAATTTTTTTTAAAACGAGCGTGTATTTCTAAATGATGACGTACATCTTGAACTGAATTAAATATCATACCGCAAGTAGCACAAAATAAATTTGGAGAACGACCATTGTTTAAGCAATTCTGATTACAGTCTGCATATTCAGGAAGACGATAATGAGTCTCAAAACATTTTATACTTCTATATAACACTCTACAAGTGTGACAAAGAAGAACTATTTCAATTTGTAAGCAATTTTCATTGATTCCTGGTTTATTGTGACATTCACATATTGTAAATGATTTTTTGCTACATTCTATTTTATTTATTTTCTCTTTATCTAATTTCATTGGTAATTCTATATTTTGCATATCATTTTCTTTGAAAGCAGTGAATTTTATATCTTTAATTTTAGAATTTTCTCTAATTAATTTATCTGATTTATCTGATTCTTGTACACGTAACAGTTCTTTACTGCTAATTTTTTCATTTATTTGAATTGTGTTAGATATTATACTACTTTTGCTATCAATAAATTTTTTAGTTTTGCTTTGTTTAAATTCTTTATTTTTTGTCTTTTCATTCTCATTTGATTTTTGTTTTGCAACTTTATAAGCTTGTTGCAATTCATTTTCTGTATGTAAATAAATATGAGCTGCCAAATCAGTTTTTGTTAGAAAATCTTGTAAACAAATATTACATTCATTTGAATTATTAATACATTCAATCTTTTTCTTTTTCTCTTTATTTATTAAATTTTTTGTTATATCTTTTTTCTTTGATTGTTTATTATTATCACTAGTAACAAATTTTGACACATATTCCGTATTTTTTTGTTCAGATATTTTTGGTGATTCTAACATTTCTATTTCTGAAAAACAAGTTATGATTTCTTGAGATTTTTCAGACGATTCATTAATATTTTTCGACATACTTGATAAAGTATTACTTTGCTTTTGTGTATGAATAATTAAATGTGACTGCAAATCAGAATATTCTTTAAAATTAAGATCACAAACAATACATTTATAAGTAGAAATTTTAGTCTCTTTCTTATCTTTAAGTTTTTTATCTTTTATTGGAGATATCATGGAAGAGTAATAAGTTAAAACATTTTTTGTAGTATCTTTAATATGTGTATTAACTTTCATGTTTTCTGAAATTGATTTTTGTTTACATAGAGAAGTATTTACTATTTTTTCCTTTAAGCATAACATTTCATTAGTGGATTTTGTTACAGAATTTATATCTAACATATTTATTGACTTTTTAATATTAACAGTATTTTCAAATACATTTGATAAGTTAGAAGTTTCATTAATAGACTCATGTGAAGAAGATAATATAGGTTTAGTAATCGAAAGTAAATCTGATATTTGTTCTGAATTATTAATTCTATTTTGCTTAAATCTTTCTTCAGATTTGTTTTCAAATATTTTTGTTAAATTATGACAAGTTTTTTGAATTTCTAAATTTTCCTCTTTTTTTACTTTTTCTTTATTAATTGAATTTAAAGATGATTTTTTTGGAAAAATTAATAATGGTTCAATTATGTTTTGTATTTCTTTGGCAGTTATGCAAATATTTTTATTTGCAGTTTCACAAATGTTTAAATTTGAAATATGATTTATAGATTCTTCAGAATTAACATTAGCATTTTTAAATGTAAGTGACATTTTATTTATAGATTTTTTATTTTTTTGAAGTTTTGAAATATTAAAATTTGTTGAAGAATTTATATATGTTTCTATCAATTTCTCAATTTCTTTAGCTGAATATTTATTATTAAAGTTTTTCAAAGCATCAAATTTTATTAAAAAGATTCTTAATTCTTTAAAAAGTTTATATTTTTGTATAAAATATCTACTAGAATTAAATGATTCTTGTATTGATTTTTGAATATATTTATCTTTTAAAATTGGTTTTTCAATTGTCATAATATCATGATTTTTTGTGTTTACAGAAGTATCATTTTCTATAATACTTATAAGATTTAATTCTAAAGGCATAAAATTGGAATTATCTTCTTGTATGTTTTGATCAAGATCATTGTTTTCATCATCAGAATCATATATTGTAGATAATTTATTTAATATAGTTAATTCCTGTTGTGATATATTTATATTTTCCTTTATATTTAAATTTTTTTTATCTGATGGATTAAATAATTCATTAGTAACATCTAATGATTCTAATTGCAACATTGGATTTTCATCTATATATTTTTTCTTAACATCTTCATGTGCTATATTAATTTCTAATGTTTTCTCTGGTAAATTTCTTTTCAATCTTTTTATTTTATTTAAAGTAATTTTATGTATATTGTTATTTTCATTGTTATTATTATTATCATAATCATCATTCATATCATTTTTACGTTTCTTTTTGAAATTTTCTTTTCTAGTAATTCTTATAATTTCAGAATCAGAAGATTTATTATTATTATTTTCATTACACTCATTTGATTGTAGAATTTTATTTACATAAGGATTAATTATTGCATTTTCAGTTTCTTGATTTTTAACATATTCATTTTTATCAGTATTTATAGATAATAATTCTACTGATTCTGCAATAAATGTATTTAATTCAGTTTGACTTTCTTTCATGCAATCTATTCTATTTATTGCACATTCTTTAGTTGAAATTGTTTTTGCAAATGTTTGTGCTATTTTATTGATTACTTCATCTATTTTGTGTAATTTTATGCATGGTTGCTTAATGTCTTTTGATAAATTCTTTATAAGAAATGTTTTATCTTTATTTTTTGTTTCTTTAGAAAATAATACATTTTGAGATTTAGTTTTAGTTTTTGATTTACATAAATGATGTAATTGATTATATTTGGAATTTATTCTTTTAACATAATCTTTAGTTTTTCGTTTTCTATTTTTTGATATATCTTTTATTTGAGTTATAAATGAATCTTTTTCACAGCATTTTTTTATCTCTGATTTATTTATTGGTAATTTTATGATATTTACATAAACTGGCTTACACAATTTATATAAAACTTGTAATTTATTTTCTTTCTTTGACAATTGGTCCATAGTATCATTTTTAAATCTTTTTCTTAACGTATAAGAACTATTTTTCATGTTTTTTTTTTTTATATTTTGTACTTATATACTGGTTTTTGAGATAATAATGGCGTTTACTTTTTTTGGACAATTATTAAATGAATGTTAATTTTCATCAAAAATTCCTATTGTCAAACACAATGAAATTAACGTAGAACGTAACTATATTACTTAAAAAATGAATTATTGTACAAATTAAAAATTATAAACATATTTATATTTACGAACATGAATCAATCATATTCAAGTGAGCAACATGCTATGCATAAAAATCAATTGCTAACATTTTATTTTAAGTCTGACATACACAGAATGGTATGATAACTATATATAAAATATGTTGCAACATATATTAAAAAAATAAAATAAAAATTTATATAATATATAATATAATATACATATATATATATATATATATATACATTTACATAAGTTTATATAAATTTAAAGATACATAATAATATTTAAATAAATTTTTGAATAAATTTTTAATAAAATTTTCAAATTAATTAGCATATAGTTTATATTTAATATTTCTTATAAAATATTGGTTACAAATATATTATATTTATATGGTTAAAAATCATAAGATAGGATACGAGAAATTTTTTATTGTACTATCTTGTTTATAAATATTATATATATTTATTTTAATGAATTTTTTGAATTAATTGAAATTAACCAATCATATTTCTCACACGAAATTTTTTTTAGATGAAATGTCTTATTCACAAACTTTTTATTAATTTAATTTTCAACGAATATTTTTATAATTATTTTTTTATATAGATCTATTATATATATTTATTTATATTATATATTTTATTATATAGATCTATTTATATAAATCTATTTAAACATTTGCGTTAAATAAATACTTACATATTTAATGTAAATTTATATTTTATTAAATTGCATCTGATTGGATACTTTCGCTTGCAAGAAAAGAAATATCCAATTAGAAGATACTTAAGTACAAAATAATCTATCCATTAATAATAAATAAATTCGTAATATTCTATCTATAATAAGTATATATTTATGTATAAATATTTGCTGAATCAATGCTATTGTATTTTGACTATATTATATTTTTTGTTACGTCATATGTTTACATTATATATATATATATATATATATATATATGGTATGTGTATGTGTTTGGTGCGTGTGCGTGCATACATGCGTATGCGTGTGTGGGCGCAATTTCAAGAGGGATATCTACATAGACTTTCCTCTGTGTACTGAACACTGGCACTGGCAGCGAAAATACAGTTCCTGTATTAAAAACAATGTTGAGAATATTCAATAATTTGTCGGTGATCGAATTAAAAATTTCTTTTGCTCATTGAAACACAAAGACAATGGGAAATTACGTGAGCAAAATTGCATCGATGTCAAACAATGCGATGCATTCCATGTATCGCGGTCGTAAACGAAAATGTATCGAGGAAGATGATTTTGATTCTGAATCGGATTACATCGATCGCACTCTTCAAACGCCAAAAAAGTATGCAATTTTGAATAAATAATCTTAATTCGATAACTATAATTGATTATACAATTGAATTTTTAATAGTATTAAACAATGTTTGCATCATCGAAAAAAATAACTTCTTAATTTTGTAATTGGTATCTAACAATATATGTCGTCAATTGATTATTAAAATTGCTTTCAATCCCAATGATTTTATACATATGAATTAATTATATCGTAATTAATATATTTTTTTTAATTCATATAGAAGGAAATTGTTGACAACAGCACAATACATTTATAAAACATTATTCCAAGAAGAAAAAGGAAGTGACATAACTGTACTAATGTTGGGAAAAGCATGGAGATTACATAAAGTTTATATCAGTCAGGTAAATTGCTTATTTTAATGTTTATTGTATATATCATGCAATTTTATATATTTTTTACTTTTTATTTTAAATTATAATATATAAATTTTTTTACAGAGTCCATATTTTGCAAGTATGTTTTCAGGATCTTGGAGGGAAGCAAATGAGACAGTTATAAGCGTAGAAATTGCTGATCCTAACATTACATTAGATTGTAAATGATTTTATTTAAAAATTTTTTATTTTAATTGATAAAAATATTTTTTTTTTTTAATTTTATATGTTTTTAGCTCTTTTGACAGTTTTTGGTTCCTTTTACCAAGATGAAGTTAGTTTAGAACCAAAAGATGTCATATCAATTTTGGCTACCTCCACCTTATTTCAATTGCAAGGATTAATTGACCAGTGTACAGATATTATGGTAGAGACAACAAATATAAAAACAGTTGTTCCTTATTATAATGCTGCTGTATCTTATGGTGTACCAGTGGTAAAAACAGCAGCAAAACGATGGTTAGAAGTTAATCTTTTGGGATATGGATGGTTACATCCAACTTTTTTAAAAGAAATTACACCTGATTTAATGGCTGAATTAATTGCTAGTCCCGATTTAATTGCTATGCAAACAGAATTTTGCATTTATATGATGTTACGAGTATGGTAAATAGTGAAATACTGAAACAAAATTATTTCTAAATAGGACTATTATATAACTTTAAATAATATTTCAGGTTATTTGTTCATGTACACAATAAAGAGGAAACACTTCAAATTGATGAATATTTTAGAAATCATAAATGGACAAAACCATTTCTTACAACAGAAGAAGGCAAAGAATTTGCAGCTCCTTTTAAAGCATTAAGAATGAAATATCTTTTGTTACATGATCAAGATGTAAAAATTTTATATAGTGACAATTTAATACCACATGAGTGGTTACACAATGCATATAAAGAACAATGGTTACATTTATTAAGAATAGATGCGAATAAAGATCGAGGGTAAGTTATAAAAGTTTTTACTTTTTCTAAACAAATCCTTGATCTGTACTTAGGTCGATGGACGTAGTAAAGAGTCTCAAATATGTGCCTTCTTTTTTCTTCCCTTCCCTTTTATAACCAGCTTTGTGGGCAGAATTTTCACTCTAAAAAACCTACTCCCATGTTTGTCCCACTTTAGGTATCTGTGTAATTCATTTGTACATAATACCGAAGTAATTAACAAATAGAAAACACAACAATAAAATGTAATTTTTCTTTTTTTTTCTTTTTTTTTTTTTTAATTATTTTAGACCAAAACAGATGAGTGAAGAAGAATTCGCTCGTGAATGTTTCCGTTGTGGAAGATGCATCGAAAAAGCTGGTGAACATATTTGGAGATGGACAGCATTTCATTTTGGTTTAGATTTGGTGGTTTGCTTAGATAGTACTACTTTAAGAATTAAAAGGAATCACAGATTAGATACAGATCATATAAAAGCAAATCATAGCAAACATAATATAATTCTGAAGTTAGTATTAGTTTAAAAATTATGATCTTTTAAATAATTATATAATTAAAATTTTGAAAAAAAATTATTTTCAGAGTAAGTCTAATTTCTTTAGATGAACAACGTCAAGTAAAACATATTCAGAGTTCAGGTATGCTTAGGTTATCACTCCATAAGAATGAAGAAGTAAGTAATATTTATAAATTTTTTAATTGTAAAAAAGTGATTCAAGTTGTTAAAGTAAATCAAATTTACACTTTAGAAACAGGTAATGTCTTTGGATAAACAACTCACTTATCCTTTGTATATATCAGTCAACATGCAAGTAGTTACTCCATTTATATCAACAGAAGAGGAAAAATCAGCTGATATAGTAATATTCTCGGATACTTAGCATATTAAACATTTAAACTGAATATAACAACGTACGCTTATCTCAAATAATAATCCGGTTGTTCCAATTTGTAATACTTGAATACGACTAAGTGCTATAAATTTTGTTACTCTCACGTGACGTTTATATTATGGAGATTCTAATTTCTGATTAAAACTTTTATAAACTCAAGAGCTTCTAGTCGACTAAATGGAATTATGAAGTTAGTAAGAAGAAGAATATAATTTCTTCCGTTTGTACTTTTCAGATATAATGCAGATACTTATTTTTTCTAACTTAAAATCACACTTATTACTTATAAAAATATATTAAGGCTATTTAAAAAAAAAAATATCAAATATAAAAATTTTATTTTTTAATAATTGCAACTAATTGAATGTTAAATTTAAAAAAATGTAATGTGTCATAAAATATCACACAGTATTATCCATTTGCTTTCACACTGCTCTTTATGCATTTATATATTTATACTATAATGACATTAGTAACAGAATAGAATAATTTTTTAATTAATAATTTTATACATTCATAATAAATATTAATAACGTAACTGCATAAATGAATTCATAGACACGCTGATCGAGTGCTTCTGTGTCTTCCGACCAACTATCGAAACATCGAGCTTCGTGCCTTATGAATACTGATTAAAAGTAAAATAACTATATGTAAACAAATGTAAATATTGTTTTTAAATATTGTTAACTGGAAAAAATTTTTATACAGAATTTTGAATTAATTTTCGAAAAACCGTTTATTGCATGTAACATTTTCAATTTAAATGATAGATAATTAACGTTCCTTTAATTAATCTAATCTAATCTCTATATATATATTATATGTATGTATGTATATGGATATATATGTATTTAAATGCGCGCATACATGTATATATACATACATTTATATATGGTGCTATTGTTTAATATGCGCGAAAAAATTTTACTTTTTACTTATTATTAAATAAGAATGTTTACTTAGTCTAATGTCTAAGATTTTATTACATTTAACAAACATTACTGACTTCAAATTAATTTTCCGATAGAAAAATACGTTATGTTTACATAGCATCAATTATGATTACTTACCTTTTTAATAATTTATATGTATAATTCTGTTACTTTGTTAAGTTTGTTATGACACTTATAAATTTTAAAAATATATGAATAATTACAATAATTTGCGCAAAAACACATTGCGCTTTAAAACATTTTTGTCTTAATTAATTATGAATGAAGATATGAATTTATAATATATCATGAAAGAAAATATCATTTATTTCTGTACATTGAAATTGCTAAATAATAAATTAATTAAATTGCAAGGTTTTTGAGGTTTACTTTATATGAAGTATAGTTATATAGTTTTGATTCTGTCTTTTTTTTTTTTTTGATTTTTTTTGATAACCATTTAACAGTTTATTGGCAGAATATTTTCTGTACATAGTGATGAATGTACATTGCAACAATAAAATGTGATAATAAATATTATAATAAAATCAAATTTTAATTAACATTTTCTTGACCTGGCATATCTATCTATTAAATATACTTATATTTTAATGCAAAATATGCAAATGGATGATCGATTTAAAATATATTTTTCTGTTGTTTCTTTTCTTTTTCATTGTTTCGATATGCTTGTATAGAGGGCAGTGTTGCCAGCAGTTTTATTTCATCAAAGTATGACGGATAATAGGCAGATGATATGAAATTAATTAAATGTAAATAATTATCTGGAGAAGCAATTTCGTTACATTCCATTCAATATTTGATAAAATTTCTATGATGAATCATAGATATATTCGAAGGAAAGAGAATATTAAAAAAAAATATCATTAATATTTATTTTTATTCATTATAGATGTCATAGTTTCTATGATTATTATTGATTGTGATACATTTAGGGAAAAATAACAACAAAAAAATGCATCATAATGTACGCGTATATTTTTTTGTTTATTCTGGATATCATTATTTTTTTTTGTTTTATATTAGAATAATTTTATTGTACATATATATGCACTAAATATAGAAGTTCAAGATAAAGTTCTAATCTGAATTTGACTCTGGAATTAATTTAAACATTATGTACAAATTAGCAACTATATAAATTTTTTTGATCACATTTAGATTGAAATCTTAAATAAAAATAAAAGAGCTTAATATATTAATACTATTCATACTTTTAAATAAGTTATTTCTCTAAAATAACTAATCAATCAATTAAACTATATAATTGAGCGGAACATAACGAAATGTAAATTTTTAATTATATTGGTAATTTATTCTGTCATTTGTTTGTCTCACTTTTATTTATTTCTCCAGATTATTTATTTAAAGATATATGTATTTTCATATTACGCCAGGTATGAGAAAAAGAAATACAACTGTCGTAGAATTATATGTTCCTGTGAAAATCACTTTTTCAAAACAAATTGCAACATTCGGTATATACTTTTACTTGGACGTGTATCAATAAAAATTACACGCTTTTTTGTCTCATCATCCGCAGTTTAAAGTGAATCAATATTTAAAATATTTGATCAAATATGACAAGCTCGATTATTTGATATCCATATTGTTATAATTTCCGATTACTTTCCCATCTTTTAAAGTGTCAAAAAGTTCGCCATCGTTTTATTATATTCTTTATATTTTATTTAAGTTATAAGTTTTATTATAAGTAATAACAAGAAAAAACAGGAATCATAATAGCAATAATATAACAATGTTAACAACAGTGATAATGATTAGTTTAGTGACATTAATTAGTAGTAGCAATTAATAGCTATAGTATTGATAATGGTAATAGTAATTAGCAACCATAATAATAATGTAACGATGGTGACAATATGACACAGTGACAACAGCGGTAGCAACAATTAATTACGTACTGCGGTGAGACATGTATTCATTTTTATTATATTTTTATTTTCTTTTTTAATTGTTTGTTTCAATAAGCATTCTACTTTATCTTCTACTTTCTCCATTGACAATAGTTTCTACATCTTCGTTTTACGATTCTTTTATTTTTCTTTTATTATTATTTTTGGTTTTCTGTTCATACTTTTCTTAATGTTCTTATTGGCTACAATTGAAGAAGTAGCAATATTTCACATTTTAATCGAACTGTATATATCTTTTAATCATTTTTTAGCGTTTTTTGACGTGCATATAGTATACACGTACACATATACGTTGCCGTGTATCACACGTACGAACGTGCACTCATCACACGCACACATGCACACATCAATATCCTTTTTTCTTTGTCGCGAGCCTCCGCTGTCTATCGTTTACACAGCATTTTATTGCAAAAATTAACAGAATATGGGTCGCAATCATCATGCCAAATTTTCATCTTCGTCTCAACGAAATGTAAAATAAATTACTCATCGACGATATGTTTTTCCGTTTTTTTTCTTATTTTGCATTTTCCCGCGTGCATTTCGATCTTGAAATATTTTATACAATACCAGGCAATTACGAAAGCAACCCGATATTATTTTTCTAAAAATAAGCTATAATATCCTTCTTGCGTGCAATTCCATTGCTGTTTCCTTTCAAAATATAATATATTTGTATATATATATATTTTATTTCATTTTTTTTATAGTAGCGTATAAAGTGCAATCGCACTCCGCTACACTTTTATATATATATATATATATATATATGTATATAATATATACATATGCATATATATATGTATATGTATATATATATATATATATTGTATATATTCTTTAATTTATTTCTTTTCTTATAGATATTGTAATTTTGTTTTCTCTTTTTACTTTCTACGCTTATGCAAGAACGCTGAATGGTTTCACGTGCGGAGGCCATGTGTTTTCTTCTTCTCATTTAAATTTTCCTGAAGTGTACTACTGAAGTACGCTCTTGCGTATCTGGCAGTTTGTATCACCGTTAAAACTACTATGTTGTAATTTGACTACTTTTGCGAATTGTTCGAATCCTGGAACGGCATATACATACATACATTTCTATGTGTACTGTGCTCTCAATCGAGCATTTTTCTTTAAAAATAACAGCTACAATAGCTGTAATTATATTCAACTCGTTAACAATCTCAGTTCCCTTATATTTCGTTTCGCTGGAAATTATTATATATTTAAAAAGTCAAATTGATCATTTAGAGAAATTATTAAAGAAAATATTTGATTTCTAAAATTTAAATGTTATTTAAGATTGATCGATAATATATATTATATTGTCAAGTCTAGAATCGATCGCGATCTAACCTGAAAATGTAGCGTTTCGAATAGATAGGGAATCGGACGAAAACGAGTTGCTCCGGATCCGAACGGTGTTTTCTATGTTATCGTTGATTCAGTTTTAGGCATTAAGTATTATCCTTTGGTAACTGCGAAGTTTAGGCTATGGAGAAGTGCGGCGAAGTCAAGACGGGTAATGCGAACGGATATGAAAGGAATAAACTCGGCATCGTCAAAATAACCGTCAACAGAGACGTTAACGGCAATAAGAAGGACGGTGTATGGCTTTCGGCCGAGTTACAGAGATCACCGGTGCATGCGCAATAAGCTGCATGAACGTCGTGAGTGCCTGATCTCATCAGGCAATCGGCATTGTCTCTCTGGTCCGTAATATATCCGCAACTTCTGACAACTCTGATCTTGCCATACACTGAAAATTGATCAAAATCATAGCGTTACTAGATTTACAAATTCTTCATATTTTTATAACAAAAACGGTACTTAAATACTATAAAAAAATAACTAACTTGCTATAAAGTTAAATAACAACCAATTAAACCAAATTCTTTATTTAATAAATTAATTTAATAAATAAAGAATTTCTTTAAATAAAGAAAAATAAAAATAATTATTTAATAAATTACTATAGAAAATTTTTTGAAAATTATTTGACACATAATAATAAAATATGCATAGTCTATGAAGAACGATGGAATTTCAAAATTTATTCCAGACTTAAATAAATTTTTGCTTTTAGAATATAAGTAATAATATAAACTATATACATATATATATACTCCCGAAGAATAGATCATGGAATTTGTAGTTTTTAATTTTAATATTTATAAGCTTTATATAAAAAACATGTATACTATTTTATTTTAATTTTAAATCTTTTGAAGTTTAATTGTCACAACATTATTATAATGTTTGCTTAATAACATATGCTAATGTTAATGTAATAATAATATTGATTTTAACAATGGTTAAAATCCATAAATAGTTTGAATAATTTATCATATATTTCAGATACAAAATTTATTAAATAATTTTCCAAAGCTATATTACGTATACGATAAATAATTTTTTTGGATATACCTCTTTGGCTGATTTTTCGACAAAGAGTAGGCTCCAAATGACTTAGATGTTCCAAGCGTGGTTGAAAACTGCAGTTCACGGTTCCAAGACTGTACGGATCGAATGGATCGCCGCACCTTGGATCGTATTCGCTGTTGCATTGATAACATATTATTGCTTCTCCTACAAAAAATGAATTTAATATGAAGCACTGAATATTATTTTAAAATTTTTTATAAACTATAAATAAAGAAAATACAATTATTATATAAGAAATATATATATATAAAATATAAAATATAATATATAATATATAAAATAAATATATATAAAAATATATTTTATTTATAATAATTATTTATATATTTCTAATAAATATATAAAAAAAATAAAATTTTAATTTTAGGATAATTAGAGCAAACATATGACTTAAGAAGGAAATATTCGAATAAAAATCATATCAAGTTTTTATGTTATAAACATCACATAACGAAATTACAAAACTTTGAAATATTAAACTATACTATTGATTAAAATAAGGTAGGTTCGGAAGAACTGCTGAATCCATATTGAGTTGTAGTTGTTTGCGCGCTACTTTTATCGCGTACTGCAATTTAATCAAAACTAAGCCATTATATTCAAGTATTTCTTATTATGGATGTTATTAATCTGTTAATGTTTGTTAAAAGTTTTATAACACAAATAAATATGTTTAATATTGTCATTCATTGTTATTATTCCTAATTTAAATAAATCATTATTTGATTTGATAAAATAGTCAAAGTAAATTAAAAAAAAAATAATTTATTGATCAAATTATTCAGAATTAATGTTATAATTGAATTAATTCCAATTTTTTAGTTCTTCTGTATTTAATATTTTATATTGATGATAAATTTCAATATGATTTAATAAAATTAATAATAAATATAATTTAATTATATTTAATAATTATTTATATTTAATAATTATATTAATTTAATTATATTATACAATTAATAAAAATTTAATTTCTTTTAGGAGTTGCTGCTGTATTTCAAATTTTAGAATTTATGCTTGATTTGCAAAGTCTTGTTGATTGGCTACGACCCTGCCGCGTTGTGACGTCACCAGGCAACCCCATTCACCCTCCCAACGAGTCTGGTTACAGCACCAGCTGATATCGAGCAGGAAGACCCCGACCAATACATGCGATGACCTACTGATATACACATGGGAAAAGAGATCTATTGAGAGAAGTACAAATTTTGCAAATTTTTATGACAAAAGTCTGGGCAGTAAATAGATATATTTATTGATTCCAATCTTTGAAACTATAATTTAATCATTTTTGTCATTTATGTTACATTATAATATTATTATGTTATATTTTTATCTTAACGAATTATTAAGTAAAATTTTTAAAAATCTTTTTTTGAACTATATACATATATTCTTAACATTTTTAAATTTTTTTATTAATTTAATTAAAATTTATTAAGAGAAGAATATCGATATATAGAATTTAATAGAAAAATATTTAATTATGAAAGAAAAAAATGATATAAATGAAATTTTTTTTTCTTTGTCAGCATCTTCACTTTGAATTTACCTTGAGCGCGCGAAAATATAGATGAAACAGTTTCATACCCTGACCTTGACTAGATAAATTTTGTAGGACCTTCCACTGGCTTATTCTACAAGCTTTTAATAAAAAGTTTCGTTTCATTAAAATATAAAGTTTCTTTTCTATTTAATGATAACTTCTAATTAATGATGCAAGAATATTTTACAAAGAAATTATTTAATTTTTAATCACCCACATATTATATACATTTATATACATTTTTTTATGAATATTAAACACGTTACATTTTTTGCATTCTTTTAATAAAAATTCTAATAATTTTATATAGAATTTTTTATAGATACTAAAATGTATTCAAATATATACAATTGAAATCGTCGACTATGATAATAAATTTCATTGAAGAAAGATAAGTCAGAATGTTACGATATCGACAGATTAATAAACTTTCTGTATTATTATTATTTTGACAATTATAGTGAAGTGTGAAAACATTGATCAAAAGTATGTATATATGGGAGGCTCTTCAACGACATTTGAAACCACACGAGACGTTCGATCAGCAGTAAATAGGGCAGGGCGGCTGGATAGACGGTAGGGGTGAGTCGCGTGAGGAACTAACAAGCGCTGCGTGACATTGCAGGTCCTTATGTAATCGACAGGAACTAAAACGAAGAGATTACCCTTTTTATGTTGATATAAAAACATTTCTGATGAAGAAAGAAGAAAGAATATCGATAAAGACAATAATATTTCTATTCTGTAGGATTCAATAATTTAGTATTCTAGATACATTTTTTATTGATCTTTAAAAAATCGATATTATAAATCAATAAATTTCTTTCAAAAACTTATATATTATTAATACTTAAGAATAAATATATAAATTTAAAATACAATAATATATTAAATATAAAATAATTGCATAATTATAAAATAATATGATATTTTAAATAATTCTTCATAAAAATTATAATTAGATCCTTAATGAATATTTAAATGATTCATATAAATATTTAAAAGAGATGATTATTCAATTGTTATTCTTGCTAATTGTCATTTTTTTGTGCTTTGTTTAGAATGATTGTTAAACTCATTTTCAAGGAACAAAAACATAGTAATATATATATAGCGTGCATAAACATATATATATATATATATATATATATAATATAATAATACAAATTTTTATAATTTATTAATAGATTAACACGAGGAACATCCCCTTGGTCACGGTACCACACGGTGCAGGGAGAATAGAATTCGAAGAGTATGAGAGAATGCAGCGGAGGGAGGGGAGAAAGTGGGTCGCTCGATAACCCTCGCGTGGGCCAAGTTCTATGAACCAAAATTCCAAATTTTAACAAATTGCATCAAAATTAACATAATTTTTCTTAAAAAAATAAAAAAGAAGAAGAAGAAGAAAAATAACCTGCTTTTGGAAACTTTCGTTATTCTTCCTTTTTTCACTTACTAAAAAAGAGCTGCAATTGAATTCGACTAGCAGCTTTAAGTTCGACCAGTTACGGAATTGTTTCTTTAAACTCATCATTTAACGATTGTAGCAAACGCTACATGCAGCAACGTATAATTAACGACATTTCTAAATCCTTCATTTTAAACGTGCACTGTTTTCATGAAATTGTGTTATTGCAAACGTTTTTCAAACGTTAATCGCAAATTAATTTATCTTGTTAAAGAATTTTAGGTTTAAACACTTTTATTATAATTTTTTTCGTTTTTTTTATGATTATTAAAATATTATATAAATGTTTAAAACGAATCATTAAATTTTATAAAAGAAAGTTGCTTCTTATAAAAAGTCGATACAATATCACTGTCGCAGTGTTTTAAATTTTATAAAAGTCGCTTTTCTTAATAGGACGTTTTTTTTCAAGACGGTTATTTCTTTTTTTTTTTTAGAAATATGAATATTAATTAAATTTAGATATTATATTATTTAATTTTTTCATTTTTAATATAAGATGTTAAAAATAAAAGATTATATTTTTCCAACAAAAATAATTATTTCCAATTATACAACGTACATTTTTCGAATTTTTTTTTCGATTTTAATAATTTTTAATTGTTAAGAATATCTCGTTTTAAAATTTTATTCTTTTTCCACACGGTAAAATCTTCATTTTCATTTCCAGGCAACTTATTTCCTTTCCGTGATTTATTTTTATAATGAAATTCAATTTAGAAATTGAGTACAATCTGTTCCGGATAAGAATCGAGGAAGTACTACAAGTGCTACTATTGTAGGAGTTCTCTGACTAACATCTGGAATACCATAATCTTTTACTACATTGGAATATCCTCTATAATGTACTTTTTTATTTTATATTAATTTTTCTCATTTGAATTAATTTTTTTTATGCAAATATTGATTTATAATACGAAATATCATAGTTCAATAATTTATATCGATATGATAAGAAGAGAAAGAAGAAATCGTGTTGATATAAGGAAGACCTAACTGAAAAAAATTGCAAGAACTGCAACTGATGAAAACTCGATTGTACCTTTTATGTAACACGAAATCAATATTGCGTTTGTTTCTTTATATTTTTTTTTTTTTTTCTACAGCTTACACAACTTTATAATGAATACTTTTTAATGATTCTTTGATTCATTAGATATTAGAATTTCTTATTGGTATGTGAACATATAAAAATAATGCTATGTTAAATTCTTTTCTCTTACTATATATATATATATGTATATATATATATATATAGTTACTTTTTCTATCAATTACTGCATTGCGCTGCAATATACTATATGCTGCAATGTTCTTTTCAAATTTAATTTTGTTATTTGTTATTCATTATTTTGTAATTATTCATTGTTCAAAAATTTTTAAAAATTTTATTCAATTGATTTTTATTTTTACTTATAGACTTTATAAAAAAATAAAAATATAAAAGTTATGAAATATATTTTATAATTTAAATTTCTTGTTAAAAGAATTTTATTTTAACATTATTATGAAATATTATATTCTATAGAAATATTGAAAAATAATCAATGTAATATCAAAAATAAAAAATTTTACATAATCTTCATATTTTAAAATATGTATATTCGCCTGATTTGAAGAATAAGTCAATAAAAAAAAGATTTCTTAGTGATTTTTATCAATTAGTTGAAAAACTCATTGATTTAATCACAAATTAAAACAGAATATAAACAATATGATTTATTACCTCATATATATATATACACATATATATTAGTTTTGAATGAACATAGTTTTATATCGATAATATTCAACGCATCGATTAATCGATGACAATCATTTTAAAAAGAATGAATAGTTTCAATAGAAAGAAAGGCGCCAAATATCGCACTCACCGGAATGAATAGTCGACAGCAGTACCACGAAGACGAGGGTGACGATCAGCGAAAGACGATTTGCAATCATGATCACGATCACCGGACCATGTGTTTCAACTAATCACGTTGCAGTCAGTCACTTCGGACGTGTTGTCTCCACCCTCGCTGCATGGAAAATTTGCACGCGGCAGATTCGATTAAATATTTTCAATTTTTATAAAATAGATTCACCTTGAGAATCAAATAATGATAAAAAGATTGAACTTGAGAACAAATGAAGAGAATTTATTTGATGTGGCAGTGTTTAATCGACAGATCTTGTCTCTTCTCCTTTCTCACGTCCGAAATGACTGAACGAACGTGTACGAACCTTCTGGTTTCTTGTGCACCTTACGTGATCGCGGACGCGTCGCGTCTGATGAGAATCAGTTTCCGTCGGCTATGCGGCAGATCTGCCCCCTCTGGTTTTTCCATGCGCTTTGCGTCCATCCCTTGTTCATCACCGTACCCTATTAATTCGAAACCAATTTTTATCATTAAAATAATTTTTTGATTATTATTTTTCTTAAGTTATAATTATTAACAGAATAATTAATTAATTAATGGAAAATATTTGAAGATTTAAAATTGCAATTTATTTTTTTCATATTATATAAGAATTTTAGGTTTGTTGTTTTTTTCTTTGATTTTTTTAATAAAAAAATTATTTCAAATTTTATATTTGTATAATTTTTATTATTTTTTTACAATAATGAATAAATAACATATATTCTAAAATAAATAAATTATTTTATAATATTTTCTAGTTATATTTATTAAACAAACATTTTTAAATTATATAACAACAAATTATAATACCAATAATTGCAATTTTTCTTTGCAATTCATATAAAATTATCCTATATTTATTATATTTATTTATTTATTATATTATTTTATATATATATATATTATTACATATATTATTATATATATATATATATTATTATATATATTATTTATTATATGTATTTAAATTTAAATTATATATTTAATATTATTATATATTATTATATATTATTATATATTTAAATTGACAACAAGACTACAAATTACATATAATTTGATCGAGTGGTAAAAGTTACTTATAATTGTGCAGTCTTTAGTAGTACATAGTTAATATAGTCAGACATTGAAGATGTTTATGAAATAAAATTTTTATTTTTCATTTAACTGAAAATACAACATTTTTAATATAAATTTTGATTACTTATAAAAAAATTTTAATTAGTTATTTACAAAATATATCGAATTATAAAATATAATCTATTAAAATCTCAATATTTATTTAATACATGGATATAATAGACGTATATAATAACCGCGCTATCTATTGCTAATATTACGTACTATCTTTTTACCTACATTAGATATCTTTTTAAATTTATTAATAATTCATTAATAATAATGTACTAAAAAAAATTCCTTTTTTTTTATCTGCCTGATATCACTTATGTATATTAAAAGCGAAGTTTATACTGGTATATTTTATATTTTATAAATATAACATTTTAATAAAATTAAATAAATTTTTTGAATAATAAAAAGGTAAATTATTCTTTATATAAGACTATTTTCTATAATAAAAGTTTATTTAATAAGCGTACAAAGCTTTCTGTTGGTAGTGATTTTAATATAAATTTTAATATATATAAAATAAAATGATAATTATTTACAATAACAATATATTTACTTGTTTGCTTTTATTTGTTAAGTTTACAAAAAAAATAGTGTAATTATAAAATGACAAGAAAAGAACAAACAAGCATTCTTAGAATTTCAAAAATTTTCTTATTTAAAAAAAAAGAAAAAAAAAAGGAATGTCTGTCAATACTAACAAATTATATAAACAAGATAACACTTTTATACAACTTTGTGAAACTGTCACTAATAAACAATATATACAATATCTAATTTGATAATATATCTCTTCGGCATTTATAAATCAATTTGACTAAAAATTCATATAGCACTATAATACAGTACTTAAATAGGCACGTTCAGTATAAGTACTAGTTCTAATCCAGTCTCCTATTAATAAATGATGTTTCATTATCAAAAATTATATTTTAACACAATCTATATTTATTTATAAATATACTATATATATATTTTTTATTTTTCATGAAACAGAATTACAAAACTTTTATTTAAGGCCAATTATTTTGTTCAGGAACTAGTGTGCCAGATTATCAAATAATTCAGTTTCAGCATAAAACCGATAACTGTTAATATGTATGTTAATATATATAATTATGTATAACTTCTATATAAACAAAAGTTACCCTTCTTGAAGGCATTATTTTATGGTATAATAACCATTTGGCATTTTAACTTGTACAATTCAATTCTCGTGTTCATCAGGATGATCTGTTTTAATATGATGCGTGAATGTATATTGCGTAGTAAATCGTTTTTTACAATAAGGACATTGATATGGCATCAGAGGATGTGCAGATCTTAAATGTGCAACAGCTAATTCTCGTAAAACAAATGGAGATTGACATACTCCGCATCGATACCTAAATATCATAAATATTGATATTTTATATTTTTTAAAATTCGATTATTTTTAATATAAATTTAAATCTTACCCGCCCATTGTCTTGATTAAGGTTCGTTTAATCGGAGGTGGTGCACTTTCTTCATTTATTTCTATTTTCGGTTCAATAGGAGATATAGAATATTCCAATGATGTTTCAGGAATTAATTTTGGCATAGCTTCTTCTTCTTCTTCTTCTTCTTCTTCTTGTTCTTCTTCTTTTTCTTCTTTTTTTGACTCTTTCTTTAAATCTTGTTTTCGCACCTATGAGAATAATAGAAAGAATAATAGAATTTTAAAATGTGTTGAATGTATTAAAATTTGTAAAAATAGTTCTCGATTAGTTACCATTGTATATGAACTTTCCATGTGTATTCTCATATGAGAATTTTTAGATTGAAAACTACTAAAAGAGGCGTTGCACTTGGTACATTTATATTTTTTGCTGTTACTAACTGACATAGATTTTTGTGAAGTCTTTGAAGAAACACCTTTCTTATTGAGCACAGTTTCTGCCGTACATTGATGTGTTAATAGAGATACTTCTTTGAAAAATATTTTATTACATTTTGAACAATGATATGTTTTATCAATAATGTGAGATTTTTGATGCGTTTTATATATATTTTTGTCTACAAATGATTTGTTACATACTGTGCATATGTACATTGATGTCGATTCATTTCGTTTATGAGATACCTATTATTAAAATAAAAAAGTATTCAAATATATATCAAAAAATATCATTTTAAAAATGTATACCTCATGTCTAAATAATTGCCACTTTTCTTTGAAAGATTTTTTACAAATGTGACAAGTGAAATTTTTACAAGTATAATTGTCTGAATGTGTTCTTAAATGCGTTAACATTGTAGTATGATCACTGAACCATTGTAAACAAATACCACATCTTGCAACATTTTTAAATGCATTAGTATTTAATGGAACATTTCTTTTCGATGGTAAATCTTCATTAGGAATATCTTCCATCATCTGAAAATTATATTTTATTTTTATTATAATATTTTTAAATAATATATAAATAATTACAAATCAACCTCTGAATATGTTCTAGTTTTTGCACGAGTTCTGGCTTCTTTTGCCTCTTTAGCTTCCCTTTCAGCATTTAATACTTCTTCTTGTTCAACACTGGTCATTACAAGTGACACTGTAGGTTCTTGACTATGTTCGCTCATTCTATGTGCTGCTAAACGTATAAAAAGTCCAAAAGATCGACCGCATATATCACATTTGTGTCTTTTTGGTTCATGAGTACGCATGTGATTTGATAATGCACTTTGTTGAGTACAAATCTAGATAAAAATGAAGAACAAAAATTTTAAAAATATAATTATTAAATTATAATTAAATTTTTTTTTATAAAATACACATAAAATTATTTACTTTTCCACAAGTAGGACATGTAAGTGATTTAGTAGTATCTGTAAAATGTTCTCTTTTCACTTCCTTTGAAGATTCTTCGTTTTTGAGAATTTTTATTGATTGCTGATTTGTTAATTGCAATGTTTTTGTTGAATTACTGACTTCATGCAATTGAATGTGACTTTGATAAGCTTCGGTACTTGGGAAAAATCTATAAAAAAATTAAATATATTAAGTATATTATGTATTTAATAATATATAAATATTATATATTTAAATACATGAAAGTTAGAAAAATTAAAATAATAAAAAATATTAATAAAAAGTATAAACAACCTATTACATAAAGAGCACCAGGTATTGGTCCCAATTTCATTTATTTGAGTTAAATGATCACGTAATCTGTGTTTCTTTAACATTTCCCAACTCACAAATTGTCTATCACATTGATCACAATCTATAACACTTCTATCAAAATCTAATGTTACTTTCAAGTGATTAGTAGCTTCATGTTTAGCTAAATCTTCTACTAATTCAAAACAAGCAGAACATTTTCTACAATTATATTTTCTTGGACAGTGTAACTGCATATGTTTCATTAAGCTTTCCTTTGTTCTATAATAAATAATTACTAATTATAAAACTGTGGATATGATACATTATTAAAATTATCAAAAACTTACTTATAGTAACTATTGCAAGGAGTACACCACCATTTAGATGATAATTTTGTTTCTGAATTTAAATCTTTTCTGTCATTCATTGTTAAACTACCTGTCAGTACTTGTTCTAAAATACTAGTTCTTTTTTCTTCCTCCTTTATTTTTTGTCTTGAGACATTATTTTCATTTTTTAATAAATTTGTATTATGATTTACTATTATATTTAATTTATCATATAACTCATTTTCTATACAGTTTTTATGTGATGATTCATATGCACTAACATCTGTTTCTAATATTGATTCTGTAGTCATTTCTTTAATTTCTACTTCACATGGTAATTCAGGTAATGATTCCATGCAACTATTTTGATGCTCTTGATTAATATCTATTGACATTGATGGACTTTCAATTGGCAGTGAAACTGGCAAAGGTACCAAAGGTGGTGGTGCTCTAGGTTTTTCTCTCCATAATTGAGACTAAAAATCATAAAAATATTGTTTATTCAAAAAATATAAAAATAAATAATATTATACAATATAAATTAATTATTAGAAAATTAAATACCTGACAAGGATCAGGAGAATTTTTCATTGCTTCTAAATAAATCTGAACAGATTCAATATCCTTATATGCTAACAATTTCAAATACATACTTTTGTAAACACTCAAACAATATTCTCTAAATTCATAAACATCATCTAGCCTTGCGGCACAGAACTGACATATTTGCTTTGGCAGTGGATCGGTTTTGTATACTAAGACTGGCAGACAAGCACGTAATTTTTGTGCTACTTTACGTTGTACACC